TAGCTGGAATCGGATTTACGTAAGATGTTAGAATCTCTTCAGTCGTCACTGGCATTTACTAATAGCTAATCACTTGTCAGTGGAAAAACTCCCTCAACCTCATTTACAATGAAAACATTTAGACGGCAAACTGGAGATTTAGAATAAAATAGATTTGGCCATGTTGTATGAGAATTCAATTCAATTCTAAATTAGATTTCTGTTGATGACATTGTAGAAAATCGACTGTCGACTCCAAGTGAAGGAAAATCCGTCTTACGCCTGATTAGCAACAGACGAAAAGCTCATTTCCATTTTGATTATTAGGACTTTGTTCGGGGTTTAATGAATGTATTTTTTATCTAGATTTAAGCCAACAACAAGTATGCAGATAGCGTTTCCAATTTTACCATATAAAGTCGATGAGAATGGTTTTTTGAACTGCGATAAGACGAGTGGGTTTCCTATAATTAAAAATGAAACTAATGAAACTATCGTTGTCTCTTCTGAGTTTCTCAGTGTTGGAACAAACTATTTTATTGGTAAGTATGTCCAATATAGTATGTAAGTTGATGATTCATTGATGAAAATAAAATGTGGTTATTTTGATGTGTGGTATTTGAAATCATAGAAAAAAAGAATATATCTTATATACCAATTACTTTAAGACATCTGACTTCATAGATCCAATACTGTATTCCTTTTCATATGCATCTCACGTTCTCTTTCTTTTTAGTTGATTTAGATGACCACAAGTTAGTTAGCTGTGAGTTTGGACTAAGATTAAATATAACAGTCAAAGATGAACATTGCTGGAAAGATGGAGATAAATGTGGTGGCCGAGGAAATTGTGTGTCCAAAAAAGGAGAGGTAAGCACATACTACAAGGTGCAGTGCACAAAACACACCAGATTGCTAAAAAATTGACTTTGAGTCGCATTAGTAAGGCCAATGGGAAATGAAAGTTTAGTCTTATTTTGGAGATTGACATAGAATCACAGACCAAACGAACCAACCGGGTGTAGGAAATGGCGAGGAAATAGAATTGCTGATAATGTGCGTTACCAAATTGCATACAATGGAACAAACATATTGAAAGAAAAAATATCCGATGACGTCAATATTATTGCTGTGTTGAATAAGTAGTTTTAAAAAGCTGATACAACTCTGACCTGACAATTTGATAAAAAAAACGAAAACATATTCTCTTATTGGTTTCTGTACTGATATGATATGGCAACTAGAATAAAAGATAGCTTGCCAGGCAAGGTAACATATGCTCACTACCAGCTGTCAGAAATGAAAAAAATCTTTAGTGACTTAATACTGAATTTTCAAATAATCTTAAAATCATCTATAAGTCAATGCAAAAACCTGAAACAGTTCATGAAGTTATCATCAAATTCAAACATGAACAATGTCTCATCGCTGTGCACACAAGGGCAATAACTCTGAAACTGTTCATCATACGAATAATACCAATTTCTAACATGGTCGAGATCTCATCAATATAATATGAATATCCAGTTTCATCAAGATCGGATGCAAACTGTAGTCTATATCATGCCTACAAGCCAAATTTGACGCGTTTTACTAAGTCAAATGCAACAATTCTGAAACAGGTCATCCGATTATTAAAAATTTCGAACTTGTCTCATCAATATATACATGCATACTAAGTTTCAAAAACTGTAGTCTCTATAGTGCCTACAAGCCAAATTTGATGCGTTTTTACTAAGTTAAGGACAATAACCGTTCTTCCGATTATTACCAATTTCGAACTTGACTGAGATCTCATCAATATATGCATGTGCATACCAAGCTTCATCAAGATCGGATATAAACTGTAGCCTCTATCGCGCCTACAAGAACGGACCGACGGACAGGGGCGACGGCAATATACGTCCACATTTCCACGTGGCGTATGAAAAGGGAAACGTAAAGAAAAGTGTACAGGAAAACCTACCAGATGACACTTGATAACGCAAAGATTCAGCACAATTCTATGAAATTGACGAAAAATGGAATTATGGAACCAAAATGAAAATGTACACAGATCAGTAGTAAGAATTGCTAGTTAATTGGCGACTCGAGCACCATGAAATTTTGCTTTATCACCGGAAGTGACAGTCAAGGATAATAATAAAACTAATGTGTTTCTCGCGCTCAATTGGGATTAGGGTGAGATCGTCTATTGAATGGTCGTCGAGGTTGAAATGATTAGAAACAGGCTTGTCTTTCTTTAATTTGATGTCTGATCTATGAGCATTAATATGAGTCCGTAAATTATTCTTAGTTTCTCCTACATGTTATTTGGGGTATTTCTTACACGAAATTAAATATATTACATTCGAATGTTTACATGTAAGATGTTCCTGGATCGGGTACCTTTTATTCGTAGAGTTGCTTAAAAAATAATGAGTTTCTAATATAAAGGGACATGTTTTGCATCTACTGAACAAACATGGAGCACTCCTTAAACCCGGAGGTACTTCAATAAAGCCAAACTCTGGCTGGACGCACTGGAAAGGGTTTGATTATAACAGTTCACAGTTTCCATTCTTCAGTTATGGGTATTTGGTCTGCTGTTTAAAGGAATAGAGGTCAAATGTTTCTCGCATCCCTTGTGATCCCCAAGATGACATTAACACTCTCATGTTGATTTGATAAAGGTTATTTCTAACATTGTACATACCCAGCAGAACCACTTAAAACATTAAAATGAATTGAAATTTTCAATTCAGGAAACGGGTTATTTCGTGCCGTTATTCACTAATAAAGTGATAGACGAATCTGTCTAAGTCCCCATGCTATTGATTGATTAATACTGTGATACAGATTTACTAATGCAGTTTCGCTGACAACCTACAGTCAAAAACCATTTGTCATTTTTTGTTAGAAACGACATTGATAGATTGTTAAGTCTCATCTGCTCTCATATATGTTCGTTCCACAGGGAACCCATGACAGCAAGTTGTTCCGGACTTACATTTGATGTTTTAAAGGGATTCAAAAGAGGTTCACTGTCTTATTTGTGTGTATATGTACCCCGTTACAAATGCAAATGCTAGACAAAATGTTGAATCATTGAACTCATCTGTGAAAGCAAAGACAAACTTGTTATGAATCAAAAGGTACCTAGACTAGTATAAGGTACTGAAATTATACTTAGTTCAAACGACCCATCATTTGTCACATTTGAATTTGAGGAGATGTAAACCAATAAGGCATGTAATTTATGCATTAACTAGAATATTCTGGAAGCGGTCTCAAAGGCTCTCGATTTTAATTATCAGTAATTAAATGTTCTGTTATCTAAGGAATTGAACTTAATTGTGTTACTCGACTTGATGTCCATTAAATGAAATGCCATTTACCATCACAACCATTGTCATAAAATGATTTTATGATTTTAGTTGATGCTAATACAAACATTTTAGAAATGTAATGAAATTACGTCCTACGTTTCTTCAGACATATTTTGACAATATATATCATACATGTACATGTATATCGATCTGAGAACAAGATATTACACTACTTATAGAAGTAATTCCTGTGTTAATTGCATCTCCCATTTACCATGTACCACGGAACATTGATTCTTTCTGCAGTTTATTCATTTTGCAGATGAAGTAGCCAAAAAGTATAAAACTTCAGTCGGGTTACACTCAGGACATTAACAAATCACAACATATTGATTTCGATGTTTAAACACTTCGAGAAAACTTTAATTTAAAACGCTGCAAGTAACTGTCAAAACGAAAACTTTATTTTTTACTTCCTCTTAAGCGATATTGATAACAGGCTATTGAAGAGCTGTTTTAAATAATGATATTTTGAAGAGGTACGGCTTCCGGTAAAATTCAATAAATCTGAGAAACTTTCTATAATAGTGAGGAATCTGAAGATAAATTGAATCATCAATTGTCTGATTATTGGAACCGGTTTTCATTAAAAATCTAGATAAAAACTCTGCACAATGATCTGTTGTATCCGGTTCATTAGTTGAAAACAACATTTAAAACTTAAGTGATATGGCTTCTTCTTTTGTAAAATTAAAATGTCACAATAAATGACTTGTGTTTATTTCACAAAAAGTTTGCTTAGTTTTTGGTTCAAATGCCATCACAAACTTAAGTGTATAACTTTTGAAAATGTCAGCTCTCTCGTTTTATTACAATAAATGTAACGAGGATCTTTCACGAGGCTACTGAATTTGGACAAGGGCATGAAGTTTTCCTAAAAATGATGACGAATTTTGAATGAAGCTATTTTTGTTAGCTGTTCAAGAAGAAGTCAAACACTTAAGATCATTGTATAAGCTCCTTTTCTCCGCCAAAGTGATTCTATTATTGTCTGAGACTGACACTCTATATAATCTATTGGGTATTTATAATGATAAGATACTGATTACTATACATGTTATACCAGTAAAGGTACAATAAACAGCAGTGGTTATATAGTACATAATATTCCTTGAAATATACAATTTGACATCTGGTAAAGCTTGTTTTAACTCTTTTAGACTTGAACCTAAATTGTCCTTGGCGAACGAAAATTATATAACAGTCTTCTTCGACAACAAATGGCAAGAGTCACTTGTGAAAAACATGTTTTCTTTGATGGAAAAGTCCATTTTATTCCAGAAATGGACGCAATATGAAAGAATTGTATTATTATGTTTATTGTTTGACAATTGTGGTTAACAAGCAATCATTGCAAATGTCAAAGCACTATTTCTTTCCCCCTTTTTTCTCAAGTTCTATTCTAGTACCTCTAGTACCTCTATCATTGCATTGTAAATTCGAACTTATTGATCAAATTCAATGGTCATAAATCCATCAGGAATCCATCTTTTTATGTTATAAAAGCAAACAGTCTTTTATATTGTGGATAATTAAGATTTAAAAGCCTAATTTGTTTCCCTTAATGATAAATTTCAAATACGTCATTAATTATAGCTTTTATACATATAACCTGTCTGTTTTTTAAACGACTTTCCTTTTTTATTATTTCAGACAAACTTCCACTGTTCATGTTGTGATATGTTTAAAGGAGAGTATTGTCATACGTTTGATTCCTGTTTAAGCAGACCATGTCAAAATGGTGGTCAATGTGAACACAAGAAGAATTCATTAAGTGACTTTAACTGTAATTGTAGATTAGGTGAGTATGGATGGATTTTAAATATTTGAAAAGAATATCGCAGTCGCAGTTTCAAATATAAGGCATTTGCTTGGGCCATGATGATTAATGTATGTCTCTATAAGAATCAGCTCATAAGAAACGTGCATATGGCATTATGACACATTTAGCACTAGTTATAACCATTACTATAAATATCTAAATAAAGTCACATAAAATCACTGAATCTAGTATGGCTTTATATGTTCTTTATTGGAAATAAACCATGATCAAGATAGAAAATACACTCTGTAAATATGATAGTTTCTATTTTCAAACACTTGGATCTTATCGCTGTCTCAATATAGACGACACTTTAATTGATTAATATTCTTCTGTTTCTCTTGACATTATTTGATACACAATCTTATGACGTCAATGTCATCTACAAGGCATAATATTTTATACTTCAGAAATTGTTCTCGTCGCAAATGTTCATTTCGATATCAATAATGTAGGTATTTTATGACGTGTAATAAGATGTTACCGACGATTGGAGAGAACAGACGATGATACTTTCGGACTTTTCAACCCATTTTCCCAACAGTAATGGTGGTCTGATGGTATCTCGTAGTACAGGTCATTCAACTGCATAAAAATAAGTCTTAATACTGTTGTCCTGTGAACAATTCCTCTAATTGCGCATTGTATGTGTACTTGCCTTCATTACCGTAATGTTCGTAATTTGTATTGTAGGTTATCACGATAGTCTCTGTACAGAGAGGGTATCAAATCTCTGCTCGTTAGATTTATGTCAGAACAATGGTAGTTGTACTGGTAATCAGACACATTTCCAATGTGAATGTCGTCCAGGTTTCTCTGGTTCCCATTGTGAAGTTGATATCAATGAATGTGAGTCCAACCCATGTCAACATGGTGTATGTGTGGACAGGGTTGGAGGTTTCCAGTGTTACTGTACACCAGGTAAGTGGCAATCATTCAAACCAGTAGCGGCTTCGGAAATCCGATTTTTCTCTTCTAAAACTTTTAGTTTTATGGTTGATCACTTAAATTTTCTGTAATAAAGCACCAAATCTGCATCTTGATTGTTCAGTGGCATCTTTAAAGAAGGATTAATTTTCAAACTTCTAGAACAAAAAGATCATATTATACGGTTCCGTATAACTAACGATGTACCCGTTTAAAAATCTCATTTTACTTAAAGTTAGAATAGATCATCTTTCACAGAGCAATCTCTAAAACACTTTTGTCAGAATCTGGCTTTCTACTTCCAAAAAGCGGTCAAACGTATATCACCCAGAACTGCCATGTCAAAAAATAGCACCAGAGAAAGTCTCCTTGTACTATAATTGTACGAAGCATCCAAATGTAACTTTTTTCATGGTCACGTTTTATCACTCTCTCTTTAAATCGGAATAAATGTATACTCTTTGATTTTGAATTTAATTTGAAATGAAACTCTCATCCATTGACATGTAACATCTACGTCACAGAATCTAAATTTATAAATATATTCAATATTCCATTACGTTCACAAATTGATGTTATTTTTGTGCAACTGAATTCATAATAAAAGAAAACTTGGTGAGTTAATTATACAAATTGACAAGCAACAAAAACCAGATTCTGACAATTTCTGTACAGATACAGATATAGATTATGTTATGCCTTGTTAGTTTGTAATCAGAAATACCAATGACAGGGGATTATTTTTAATATTATGTATCATTTCTTGAACCAGGGATGATTTCTCCGAAACGTATCAGGTGGGTTTGGTATTGCCAAGTTTTTTTTTATTGACTAAGTCCATGCTGATCCACTGTGTAACTCGGTGGAAAATTCATTACGTCAAATAAGCTTATTGAGTATCGGGGCGTTAAACCACTATAGATATTAGCTTTCCAGGCAAGGTAAGATATACCCACTGGCAGCCTGGAATTTAAATAAGAATATTTTGCAGTACAGTAACTATCACCGTAACTATCACCAGTATAAAATATTCAATCTTCGGTCATACACTTTTTTCGAACTATTGTGAGTGATAATGAACATTATTACGACGTTTTGTCAAAATCCAGCAAGAATGGTACGTTCTAGAGCTAAAAAACTGAACCCGTTTTGTAGAAATATGTTTCTATTTTTCTGATATTCAATAGGGTTCATTCTTGGGTGATAATGACGTCAAGATGCGTCAAGAATTGTATGTTCTAGAGTGTTTACAAGCAATTGTTGACGGACGGACGGCCGGACCGACGGACGGACGGACGGACCGGTGTTTCATGTCGGCGTATAAAAATTGGTCATAAAAATATGTTTTAGCTTAAAGCACTTTATCGCATGTTACATTTAAGAGACAAGTTGGAAATGAAAACTGTTAAAAACATATATAATCCATTATTGTTATTACATTGTATGTATATCTCAATTCTCTACAGGATACCATGGAACCAAATGTAATGAAATGTATAACCTGTGTAAAACCTCGCCATGTCAGAATGAAGGTGTTTGTATTCAGGAGGTAGATGACTATAGATGTCAATGTCATCCGGGACACAAAGGACGTCATTGTACAGATAAGGTATGTATTTCAAGATACGTTTTGTCATGACTTTCTTAATAAACATATTTTGATATTGTCGTATTGAATACTGGTAGAAGAGAATGATAAGTCTTAAATTGATTTGCTGCTTTTATATACAACAGAATTTGTGGATACCGAGTTTCAAGAAGTAAAATTTACCATTTTTGAAATATTTCCCATTCATTTCAATTTTTTCAAATATAATAACCACAAATAGTACTATCAAAGTTTGATCGATTATGAGCGGACTCGTTATGCTACAACTATTTTACACATAATATTTGTGCTCTATATCAGGTTGATCTATGTTCACCAAATCCATGTTTTAACCACAGTAAATGTAGCTATGATTATAATGCTACCTGCCATTGCCCTCCTGGATTTAAAGGTACTATTTAATTTTGTTTAATGATTATTGCCGCAGTTAATTTTAAACACCGTATACTTTACCGAAGTATAATTGTAGAAATGTATGAAAATAAACGTAAAGTCTCATGTGAACTTAAACTAAAAATTGGCCACGTGATCCTAATTGTCTAAAGATCACTTAATAAGCAATAAAATAATTATTGACGCCAGTTAGATCTGTGATAATTTGATTAGTATGAGTTCTTTACCGAAATACTAATTTGCTGTGAAGGCGATATTTAAAATATTCAGTGATAAGCCTACGGAAATGAAAAGAAACAGTCGATTTAAGAGAAAGTAACCGAACAAAATATCGTTGTTGAATGTTCAAAATAAATACAAAAACGTTGGCAGCTGCGTTTTACACAACAATGTCATTAGATTTAATAATAGTTGAAATTAACAGGAACTAGATGTGAGGTTAATGTAAATGAATGTGAATCCAGTCCCTGTTTAAATGGTGGAACCTGTAAAGATTTTATCAATGGTTTTAAATGTTCCTGTCACGAATTACACGCTGGTCCTAATTGTGAATATACCAGTAAGTTCGTACGTCTTATGCAACCTGGTGGTTAATTGGTCAACACAAAATTGCAAAACACGAATGCAGAGTGCAAGAACTTGGTGACTGAATGTCATATTGCGTTTACAAGCTATTAATTGGCAGTGGACCACTTGCTTAAAAGGATTTTCGTCGTTACACTACTTGACCACGGTCGTTCTCAAAAGTCAACATATTTCAAGTTGATGTTCGAATTTGCTTATGGTTCTTTACCTCCGACACTAACCTTGCTCAACCTTATTGTTGTCGTCGGCTGGACGTCAATTATGATTGACAGACACTTACTACTTATAAATATTCGAGATCTGTGAACTAGGCATGCGGTGGCAGATACTTGTATCGCAGACAGTTAATGACTTCGATTTTAAAAGATGACGATGTTATTTTTCAGTTGATATGTTTGCACCTTTCCTACAAGGTAAAGGTAATGATTTAGAAGGAACCAACCATAGTTACCATGTAGAAAATCTGTATATAGTAGCAGGAACATTGTCTGGTGCCATTCTTATAGTAATAATTGTACTCACCACATGCTACTGTCGAATGCACGAAACGTATAAACATTGTGGACTCAAGCGGCTACAATATAGCCGTCAAAAAGAGTAAGTAATTCGTTGAAAGTCGTTTGAAATACATGTTATAAAATGTTATGAAAGTTAAGGGGTATCAAAACATGAGCTTAACCAGTATACATGAATAATTAATGGTGTCTTAATTGACCGCTTTCATAAGAGTGTACCTGTCATTAATCTTGTCCGGAATTCGAAAAAAAGGGGAGGAATGTATACATTGCAGATTTGAAATATTGTAAGCTGGATCTGGAAGTAATTAATAATCAATGTTATTTTATATTACAGTGAACCACGTGAAACTGCTGTTGATGTTAGTAGTGTAACAACACCAAGATTATCTATTGATGCTATCTGGGAAGCAACCAGTTTAAATTACGACTTCAACCAATTAAATTCACCACTTCGAGACTCTCTTAAACCTAAAAACATCTAAAGCTGGTTATCAACTTACACATTGACTAGTTGTTTAGACGCCAAATGTTTCCTATTTTCTTCGACCCTGTACTAAGATGATTAATAATGAAAATAGATTTAAAATATATGTATTGGGTTTGGGGAACGTTTTATTTTAGTAACTTTTCTTTGTTCAGAAGTATTTTCGAACTTATGTTAAAAGTTTCAAAGTTAAAAATGGGACCACAAATATATTTTGAATTGCCCTTATTACATTTTCACTTTGCACGAAAAGGTAACGTTTATTTGAATGGTTTATAGACAATAGGTGATTTGTACTATTTGAGAAAAAGACAAAGTTCCATATAGCCTTTATTGAACATAAGATTAACTATTCCCGAAATTGTAATATATGTAAATAATATTAACGACAGAAATACAGGTTCAATATTTGGATTATTTGGCTCCTTAACATTGAGTGTTCTAAAACAATACTTGTTCAATATACAGTGAGATATAAATTCAGGAAAATGCAATGAAACTCGCCGATTTATATTGTAATCAGTCAACATGATACATTATCTCAAATACCATGAAAAATAATGAATTCAGACACGAAAGAAAATAATATAGATAGGTTATAGTCCTCGAAAAATCCATTACATTTGCAATAAATATATTTTAGTAGAAAAGTTGAGAAAGTTTGAATATTTTAATCTTAAAAATTCTTCCTATGTAAATAGATTTTTTCATTCATTATTTACATTATTGTTACATTTATTTCATGATTATTAAGAATTCTATATTATTGTATTGTTTTTATGATTTCACTGTCATTATTTTTTTTATTATTATCATTTTTTTCGCTAGTTGTAGGATCCGTAGCATAAGAATTAAATCATATTATTTTAAGAGCAATATATTTTCATGATGTACATAATTCATATGATGGAAAACGGTAGCACGTGACAATTTTCGTTTCATTATTTCTAAACATGCTTATTTACTTTTATTGGTTTCTGGAGCTAAAATCAAATTGTGTCTTTACCCATAGAAAAGTCAAAAAAAAAATGTTTACATATTTTTTCTAAAATGTAATTTGTATTTCTCTTACATCTCTTACATTATTTCTTTACTGTAGCTTGAATTGGACACATTAATTTTGACAAATCATACATGAGGAAATCCAGTGGAAGCTGAAACAAATGGTACAGCCAGACAGCCACTAGACAAGTGGGGACGATGGAGCAAGTGTCCGAAATTAGCCATAGTAATTAGCCTAATTATATTGACTTTTTATGACTTTGTTTCAAAAGCTTTATTGATCTCAATAAAAAAAAATGAATAAAATGTAACTATTTTCTCTTATTTATTGAGCAATACAAGTGACAGTCGCTTGATGAAAGTTCTGTGTTAGATCTCATCTGAGCAGACCAATGCGACAACTAGTATTCTTTCTTTCTGAATGATGATGTAAGTTGTAATTCTCAGGGGGTTCTAATGGATGTAAAGATTGTCAGAACTTCCCCCAACTCATGATTAATAACCAAATTCCTATTGATTTTATACTACGTTCCATATTCCCCTTGTAAGACAACACCAGTAAGGAATGATGCAAATAGAACAGCTGGTAAAATATCACGAACAAAACAACATAGTTCAAGCAAGGAAAGAGCTTAATCATAATGGGATTTAAAACCTTAAATGCTTGAGGAATTTCTGATACTATGAATGAAAGCTGTAAAATATCGCTAATTTCGATGGATTTTACTAGATATGAAATATTTAATAGATAGAAAATAAACAACCGATCTTAGCTTCATTTTTAGCAAGCTATCATATAAGAAGATTATATTCATTTATCTAATTTAAGCTTGTAAATAACGCAATGTAAATAAAATAAAATTGATTACCATATTCAATATATACTATCTTACTATTTCTTCAATCATTAATTTTAATTCACTAGGGTCAGACGAAGTCAGTGGTTTAATTCAAATTAAGACATGAGTGATTTTCATTAAATAGCTTGAAATTGAGAATTTAAAGAGAGGAAGTTATCTAGTTATCTCAGCATCGTTTTGAAGATTCCACACAGTATAGTCTGGTGGCCAAACACTAGATTTTTATGAAAGTATGTTTTGGAGTACATACAATGTTTTATTGTTTTTCTGCTTCAGATAGCCCTTCTGAACACATTTCCACCGGGTGCCACTTGGGGAAATTTTGTATAGACCAAATTCAAAATGGCCGCAATCCTCGAAATTCCGAATACTATTATTGTCATAACTTTGCTTCTAGGGCACCAATAGACATAATTTTGGTGTCCAAATATATGTTTTCAGGGTCTAGGAATTCGTTTATGATGGTTTTTATTCCCCATGGGTAGGTTTTTATCGCGAAAATTAAATTAAAACATTCAGTACGAATTGTCAGCAATCCTGTATAATTTTTCCCACTACCAGTCCAATAATCTTTCCTAATAATAGCTCAATAACACCCACTACTACCAGTCCAATAACACCCCCTACTACCAGTCCAATAACACACCCTACTACCAGTTCTAAAAATTCCCTTACCACTAGTCGAACAACATCTACTACAAGTCCTACAACAACCCCTATCACCAGTCGAACAAATTATACTACCAATCCTACACCACCCCCTACTACTAAGTCCAACATTATCTCTTACTGCGATCCCTACAACATCCCCTTCGACCAGCCCAACAACCTCATCTGATACTAGTCCTTCAACATTGTATGCCACCAGTCTAACATCTAATATATCTAATATCACTTTACCAGTCCATAAATCTTCTCAATTCCCTACTACAAGTTCAACAATATATCCTAAAAGCAGTCCAATAACATCTCCTACTACCAGTCCACCCACTTCCTACTACCAGTTCAACAATATCTCCTAAAAGCAGTCCAACAATATCTACTAAAAGCAGTCCAATAACATCTCCTACTACCAGTCCTACAACATCCCCTACTACCACCCCACCCACTTCCTACTACCAGTTCATAACACCTCCTGCTACCAGTCCAACAAAATCTGCTAGTTTCCGTCCAAATGTGGGAATGGTAGTAGGAGATGCAGTCGGACTGGTAGTAGGGGATGTTGCAGGCCTAGGAGTCGATGATGGTGTTGGACTGACAGAAGGGGAGGTTGTTGGTCTAGTATAGGGGAGATTGATTGACTGGTAGAAGAAGTGGTTAGGCTGGTAGTAGGGGAGTCGTAGTAAGAGATGTTGTTGGACTTGTAGTAGAGGATGCTGTTGAAATGTTTATTATTAGGTGTTGCTACAGGACAATTCGTCTTTTCTTAAGACAATGCCAATGCCCCACCCCCACCCCACACGAAGCATCTGTCCCTTCAATTTAATTTTCACGATAATAACCTACTCAGGGGGATTAAAAATCATTATAAATGCATTCCTTGACCCTGAATACATATATTTTGACACTAAAAGTATGTCTATTGGTGCCCTAAAAACAAAATTAAGACAAAATGCGGAATATGGAAGCATCAATAAGTACTGTGCTCAGAGTCTTTGAATGAATTTCTATTGATAGACATATTCTCTACTTTCAACTAACATTTGTCTTGAATTGGCTATGTTTTAACAGCACTATAGAACCTTTGTTTCACATTTTTATCAGGGCACCATTCCAAAACTATCTTTTTGATTATATTCCAGTTCATTGAAAGTTAACCAGTAACAATAACAATATGTTAGATATCACCAGTAAAACAACTGATTAATTTACGAAATCCGTTTTCAAAACCTATCAAATGTTTCTTTGACTGAAATATATTTTTTAATTAAAAATAAGAGAACTACAGCAATGATAATCATTAAAAGTAATATGATAATATTCTTTGAATACATCTGTCTCACACGTTCACTTGCGATATGATGTTTGAGGAATATTCTATTGAATCTTTGATAACAAAAAATTTTTAAACTTGTACATTTGTAGTTGAAATAGTTGGTATTCCAGAGTTTTAAAGAAACAGATGTAGAGGCTGTTGAAGTTACAGGACTATGTTAATTATTACAAGGGAGGTAACAGCGTCCTTTACGACTACTAAAAAGTTGACATTACACAAACCCACCAGATAGTCAGGAAAAATCTGCAAAAGGGCCGATAGTTTTGAACGGGGTCAAAAACTGCAAAAAGGCGGTTCACCGTCTTCTAGACTAGCGACCAAGTAAAGTTTCCTATAGTCAATTATGCCATTCTGCATAGCAATTGATAATTCAAACCATGTATCCAACATGTGTAGGGAGTACATAATACCTAGCATAATCTTTAAGCTGTACGACGAAAGTTTCGTATGGAAAGTTCTTGTCGAGGTCTGTGGTTGAAGCGTGAAACTAGATTTATTGTGCGTTGCCATATTGTTTGTTGGTATATCAAAGTTTATTATATCTATCAACGAAAATAATTTTAATATTATCATTACTGTTTTGAAGCTTATTCACGATCACTTCAATAAAAAGGGCAGAATTCGATATACCAATAAACTAACTCAGACAACAGATCTTAATATTTCAACTGAAAGACCAACACAGAAACTCTGTGATAATGTTCGTTCTTACTAAAATATGAACCGACCAGAAACGACCAACGACAACGTGAAAGGTCGTTTTCTGTTGTTTTCCTGCTCGGTTCCTGGTCGTTTCACGTTTTCGTTGTTCGTTTCCTGGTCGTTTCATGTTTTAGAAAGTATGGATAATCATGTCAAGTCAAACACACAATCCTTTGATCAAAAATAAATCTTTATTCATTAAAATGAAATAACTATATCAAAAATATAACATAACATATATAGAATAATAATAACATTAAAGCAAAAACAAATTATTGTTTGAATATTTGAAGATATAAAGATAATATAAAATTCTATCACACTCGCTTCCCCCTCCCCCCCCCCCCTTTTAGATCATAATTTGAATACCAAAACTAATAGATTTGTGGACTAACTAACTCTTCTATGGATTTAGCATCTCTTTAATATCTCAACAAAGGTGTCATCAAACCTTTTAATTGTAAATATTTTTCCATTAAAACCAAATAATAGAAAGTATTGTCGAACAAACACAGTAGTAACAGTATCTGCATATATTATCAGCAAAGCGGTCTTATTGTGTTTCTTGGTATTAATTTCTATCTATTCTAGAAATCAAGTTTGGTTTTAAAAGCCTTGGACCGATAAATGCAGATATTTCATGATGACACCTCCGTTCGTTTGGGTTTACGGTCCATGGTTTCGTTCGTCATTTTCTGAGATTGAATATAATATATAAATAGTCTTCAGAAGTACCAGAACTACATGAAAATCGCAAAATCGGATAGTCTCAAGAAAAGATGAGTCGTCACATCCAAACGCGGATAATTCTGGACACACATGGATTTGAAATGAAATGAAATGAATGGAGTTTTACGTCCTACTTTTCTGACACATGGATTTGAAGGCTCAGATTTGGACGGTGAGCCCTAAACACTATTACTGATTAGTTATGCTAAAATTCCCGTATCTGAGACTAAGGAACGATTGGTAAAACGCATGGCAAACCTCCCCCTTTATGCCTAGTTCACACCAACGGCGAATGCTGCGCTTTAAATCGGCGAGTAAAGCGCCATCATTTTTTGTTTACTTTTCCAAAAATATCACGATGTCCTAAGTAATGTTACGCTCTGATAAGCTCTGATACGAATTGGTTACGCTTTGGGGACAAATTATTTCCCGATTTGATCAGGGCTTGTTACGCTTTAAATCAAGCTTTGATAAGCTTTATTAAGCTTTGATGCGGTTATGACGCTTTAAATCACGCTCTGATACGATTATCAAGCTCTGTTGTGCATTGTTAATCTCTGTTACACATTGGAAAATTTCGAAATGGCCGATTTCATGCCGCTTTTGATCAAGTGGTGACAGACCGTGAAGACTGGGGTCCCCGCTTTGAATAAAGCTCTGTTAAGCTTTCCTACGCTTTGAGTCAAGCTTTGCTGAACTTTGTTACGCTTTGTTAAGCTTTGATACGTTCTCGACGCTTTAATCAATTCGTGACAGAGCGCCCAAAATTTTTAAACAGTATAAAATTATTTGGCGCTCTTGCCGAATAGCCAGCTTTGCTCAAAGCTTTCCAACGATCTATTACGACCCTGGCGCTTTAGTCGAGCTTTGTTACGTTTTGGTACCGCTTTGTACGCCGCTTTAAAGCGCGATCAAAGCGCCGTTGGTGTGAACTGAGCATTAAGGTATCAGTTTGACAGTCGTAATGCTCATGTACTATTTCACATAAGCACCACCTTTCGTTCACATATTTTATAGTTGAAAAAGCCGACATTTAAACTTAGCCTTGTTAGCTGTTTTTGATTGAGCTGAATGCCAATGTTCTGTCATATCTACACCAGATCTGGTCATAGTCTGACATACAAAACATATCTTTTCTATGTCTATAAACGGTGTCACATCAATTCTTTGATTATGAGCAATGTTTTCTATATTCAGTCTTGCTGATGATAACAAACTCCTTGTAACTTCTATTCGAGCATCCGAGTCTTCCCACTGTTCTAACAATCTACTGGACTCTTCTTCGAACCTCTTCAACGTCTCTTTACAGACTTTTAGGTTATCTTGTGAAAGGGTAATCAGATGAGCCAAAGATGCCAAGTAATAGTCATATTTCGGTGCTTGTTGAATCAACGACTTGGAATAATTGAAACACTCCTTTAACGTGTCTTTAGCCTTTCCCAACTCGGCTTTTAATATAAGACAATGACTGATAAATGCTCGTAAATTGATATGAACCCGTTGGGTAGGAGAGCATACACTATAAATCTGAACAGCCTTTTGCATTTGTTCACAAGTTAATTCGTACCTGGATCTGAAATTATAGTAATATATATCATAATCACAAGCGATTTTAACAATCGTCGTGGAGTCTTTATTCTGTTGACCGTAATATCTGCCGATTTTTTCTGACTCTACTCAGGCCGACAAATTTCAAAATAGTTATCAGAGCCTGGAATAAAGGCAGATGTTTCGGACGTCTGTTAAATCTGACACAGGACATTTTCCGGATTAAATTCTGTCGTCATATGACACTATGACATAATTTTAATGCTTTTTGGCCAATAATCTCAAGATCGTCACATCAATTAAACTGCGGCCAATTTCACAGAATATTTCCTTTCATTTAATTATGGAAAACGTAAAAATTCTAGACCCTTAGTAACTCACATGTTTCGTCAGTTTTATAATTCATACTTACAATTTCATATTGACTATTCCCAAATGCATATAGGTTAATCCAGCCTTGTCATCATTGATACCACATTGCTTACATATAGACAGAGCCTCTTCTAAATATTTCAAGGCTTTTCCTAAACATACAATATAAAAATATCAAATTATTTTGGTTCTTGTGGTCCGATCTATTTGCATTGGATTGTATCTGTTATCATGTGATTTTTGAGGTCTCAGATTTTGAGATTCAGAATTTAAATGACGTATTGAACAATATATTAGTTAGCATGTTTATTTCATTTAATCGTATTCCGTTAAATTTGCACGGAAACATAATGAACTTACCGAGCTGTTCACGTTTTGAATACTGCATCCCAACACTATTTAGTGTAACTATTAGCTCTGATGGTGTGATTTTTGAATATTTCCTCCGTTCATGTAATGAAGCTTTAAAATACCGTAATGCTTCGTCGTCATTTTTCTTGACTTAAATTGAAAGATATATCACACAAAACATAATATAATCATAACAGACTTGATCATGTTATTTACCAGAAACATTTTTCTACCCAACAGCAATATACTTTTCTTTCAGATTTGTTTATTCTATAAAAAATCATAGTATGACAATTACAAACTTACATTTTTCATGAATAATTCCCAACGTGTTTAACATCACATAAATTGAGGAGTGAGACGTTGAGAATTCGTTTGCCAGATCAAGGGTTTCCAAGATTATAGCTTCAGCCTTTTCACTTTGACCTAAAATAGACGATCATATCTGTTGAAACAAATGTATTTCCTAAATGTGTGCCAAATTTATAAACCAATCGCAGAGTAGCATCAACAATTGTGGATGAGTGAGCCCGCTCTGCTTATTCAGAAACATCCACCGCAGAACTTTACTTTACTCATAATGAGGGTCGAATTCAATAAATGTTTTGGACATAAAAGCTTGAAAATGACAATTGAAGTAAAAGGTAAATGTCATCTGATGAAAGCACTGGCAAAGAACGCATGAAAAATAATTCAACAGTGCTAAAGAAAGACCACTGAAACAATCAATGTATAAGATAACGCATATCCAAAATGTTGCAGTTAATAATGTCTATAAAATGTATCTCACAAACCCACAATATTGGAGCTCACAGATTTACTGGAACTATATTAAATATGCAACAATATTGAAGCTCAGATATTTACTTAAACTGTATTAAACATACAACAATATTGAAGCTCAGATATTTACTTGAACTGTATTAAACATACAGCAATATTGAAGCTCAGATATTTACTTGAACTGTATTAAACATACAACAACATTGCAGCTCATAGCCCAATATGGACTGTTTTACACAGTTCAGTGCTATACACGATCTTCATTGCACATGCCACAATCTTCCAGTGCATAGCTAAACATGATCTGCATTCACATACCACGATATTACAGAGAAATACATAAATTTTATTATACAAAACCTCAATACTGTATTACACAAAAACACAATATTGCGTTCAGAACTATACATGAATTGCATGACATAATATCGCAGTTCATAACTATACATCAACTACGTAACACATCATAATGCAGTTCGAAATTATTCATGAACTGTATTACAAATACCACAATATTGCCGTTCATAACTACATATAAATTGCATAACACAATATTGCAGTTCATAGCCATATATAATCTGCATTACACATAAAACAATATTACAGTACATACCCAGAACATTGTAATTAATAGCTGCTAATGAGCGAGTTGAAAGAAGTCTGCTGATGTCCATATTATCTGTATCAACGTGTTGAGCCAATCGAATACCCTCTTCACAGCATCTGGAAATTGATTTACGTATATGTACTAATCCAAACATCTTCCTCTACACCAGCCGATAGCTGATAGCTATCTGAGGCAGATGTTTCTGTTCGTACATGTACGAGTCTGTGATCCTCTCCATTTAGCAATTGTAGAAAATTCGAAAGCATTAATGGGAGGTGAGATTTGTAAACAAAAATTATTTTTCCCCAATTCCAAGGGAGACCATCTTGATTTTTTTGGGAGAAATCCGCTCACTTTAGTCGGCAAAACACACAAAGTTTGCAAAAATAGGTCTTCAACTGTGAATCTTCTTCTGGGTCAGCATGACAAGTTTGAAAGAGACAAATGTTCCTCTTAAGGAATAGAAATTACCTGGATGCCTCTTTATAATTAGCGTTTTTAAAGTAATTAAATGCCATATCCCTCATTAAACATATTAATGCACTGCTAGGACCATCTTCTTTTAACACTTCTTCGGCTTCTTGAAATAATTCCATTGCGTGTTTCAAGTTGGTGCCTGGAATTTTAAAAATTTAAAAAACAAAAGGAATAAAATTTCAACTAACGGATATTCTGTTCCACCTAAGATGTTTATTTCTATACGTTAAATTAAATTGATTTTGTGTTTTATTTCCAGCAAGACAGCAGAATTCATAAACAGATGTCTTATTAATATTGATGCATGACTAATTGATTATTCATTGTGTTTAGATTTAGTAGTAGTGCGGAATAGGAACTAACCGTTATTGACAGTTAATGCTCTCGCTAGCTGAGCTTTCAATGCTGCAACATCTCTTGGTGAACCACAACGTTCAGCAATGCCAGTCAAATGTTCATAGAACTCTACAGATTCACGTGGAAAACAATTGATGATGATGTTATCAGCTTTCAGTGCAACCTGGATTGAAATAAAAAGGAAGTTATTTAAGGGGAAAGTATGCATCAGCTCCATTAAAGCAGGAGTTGTGACTAAATGCCGATGGACAATAATATTAAGATATCAATAAAATTGGGAAGTACATTTGGTTTTTCCATCAAAATCACAAGTTGTTGGAATTAATACCAACCTGTTTAAAAGCATCAAATGTTGTGTCTGTACAATGTATAGCTTGGCGCAATACTGTCTGTAAATTAGTCCAGCTCTTTTCATCATAACCATATAAAGACTGTTGAGAAGGAAGATATAGATCAGAATTAGTCTTCAACAGAATCTGGCCAAAATACTTGACAAATCTCAATCGTGCTGCATCGTTATATCGAATATGTTTCTTCATTACACTACCGAGTCTTTCACCAATAGGTGTTGTAAAATGGTACAATGTCGTGTTCTCAACTGACGATAAAACTTTGTTTCTACACAAAACACCGACAGCATGTTTAGCTTCTGGCGCCGATTTGCCAAGAACAGCCTCTACTGCCTCAAGACCAAATTGTCCATCAGATAATATAGATAAATCTGTTACAGCCTGTTGAAGTTCGGGGGGAACACATGGTATCAATCTAGCCAATGTCATATTTGGAGTGGCAAGAGGGTCTTCTTGGATTCTTGATAAACGAGCGTCATCTTGTAGTAGATTTCTTAAGTCATCACATGATAGAGGTGCTGCATTCTGACTATCACGAATCAATGCGGCTGCATCCAGTATAAATGTTGGCAAGCCATGGCACCTCTCCAGAATTACATCCTCATACATATGTTTCCTGTTCCGGAAGCAGTTCTTTGAATAAAGACAAAGATTCTGCGCTAGACAACCCCGGAAGATTGATGTCCAACCAAACGTTATTAAAACCAAAATCAATTTGTTGTTGAGACGTAACAATGATTTGGGTATGAAGACATCTTTCAATCAGTTGCAATAAGAAGTCTTTGATCTTTCTGCTGTTGTTAGTTTGGGTTAAATTGAGTCGTTCACAGTTTGTCAACAGAATAACTGGTCGATAGGTATCTAACATGTCATTGAATCTAACAATATAAGACAATTCTGTTATATTCTGAACTTGAACGCTTAGTCTGCAGACTTGGGCAAATATATTGATGAATTCGGTCCACGAGGTCACGTTGTTACATGGTATACTTAATATAGGTCTACCATTACTTATATTGAAATCTGATACTGCCTGAAAACATAATATAACAATACACTAGATTAAATTTTAATTACGAATACCTTAACAGTGCCTTTTTTCAATTGTCTTAAATATGGTATGCATTCAGGGAAACAGCTTTTTTTTATTTGCATTGCACAGTCTCGAATCTCATCAATTTGAGAGTCAACTACAGAGCTCATCAATAATTTGTACAAAATAACCATACAGTACAGCTCATAATATTTCCATAATCCAAATCCAAATACTACGAAGAACGAAATTTCTTGACCTTTTTAGCAAGGGACTTCTTCCCTACAAAGGCTGGTCCAAATATTTTAAGTATTCTTTGTTCTCTAGTTCTAAGGAAGGTCTTAATCTTCTCTATTTCTTGCTGACGTCCGATGAACGGACTTGTACCTGTTAGTGGAAATGATCTGACTGGTTGACTGCCATCTTCTGCAATTAAAGAAGAAGATTTCTCTTTGTTTGCGTCAACAGAAAATTTGATCACAGAGACGTTACATGGATAAGTTGTTCTTAGACAAATTCTTAGACAAATTCTTAGACGAATTGGTCATGTAGTATGTTAGTTGATTCGATCCCAGCAATTAGGTAAGGTGGAAAATTGGTTACAATAATATGGTCAAAAGCATGGTCATAAATATTTGATTTTGATCTCACTTTCTTGAAATTTTTCATGAAAGATCTTAACAGTGTACTTGTTTTGAACTTCTTAAATTTTAACATTTCACCCCAATTAAAATGCTGAAATGGTAACACTTCGAATAACAGGGCAAAAACGTTCCTATATGATTGAATAGGGACAAAATATACATCTTATACTAATACTATACATGTACAGCGAAAATTTGATCAAGGTCACCTTGGGTCAAGTGAATTTTGCTCGACCAATCAGTGTCACGAAATATCAATCATGGATATCAAACACGACAAGGATAATTATGACAAGGATAATTTTTATTTCCTGATCACTCTCTTACAAGGTTATTTGACACAAAATGTCACAGACCAAATTCGATTTTTTTTATTCCACTCACTCCACTAAAAGTATTTTCTGCAAATGATTGTATTACATCCGTGCTATTTTTCATTCTTTCATTCTCCCTTTTTGGTGTTTTTTGCAAGCCTGTTTTTGACAAATTTTTGGTGTAGATTTAGAAGTTGATGCATGAAATTGCATTTTCTTTCAGATTTTGTGAGATGGTAAGAGATTTACCCGGTGGAAGAATAATTAAACAAAAAAGGTTTTGTATGCAGTGACAGTCAAGCGGATGTTGATAAAATGTACTAGTCTACTTTCAGTTTGGCAAGCTCAAAACTTCCATCGTCATAATAATATGTTGAATTTTGTCCAGAAACTAAGTATTGGTCAGGTTTTCACGTGACATATTATTCGAAAGTTTTCAACTAGATTTCTTGAAAAAGGTATAGAAGGTTAAATTCGGTGATTGAAAATGGAAGATTGACAAATGGATTAGCGAAATGGGTCCAAATATTGTCTTATCAAAACAAAAGTTTTTCGTTAATTTGTAAGAAAATTAAAAACGATAATGTCGAGTAACGTATCGGAAACAAGCCACAGCTTATATCCTATTTAATTGGTACATAATGAGTATATTTCCTATAGATAATAGCAAAAAGCGTAGTTACAAAAACCACATTCCGAAAGAGAACTACCTACGAAAAAACGACAAAAACAAGAAAATAAGAGTCTTTAACAAGCGAGTCTCGAAAATTAAACAGTCCAATAAACCTATCAAGTACATGTATCTCACCTTCTAGATCCTGGAAACTGTCATCAGAATCTACACCATCTGTATTATAATAAGTATTATATCGGATGGTATTATTTGTTCCAACCAACACATTGCAGTAACTAAGGCTAAGATGAATTGGTCCCAAACTTTCAATGTTTTCTATTGTCGGCATTTTCACAGGTTATAACCTTAGTTGAATCTAAATATCATTTCAAACCTTTAAATAAAATTCTTATACGATTAATACTGGTTATTCCTAGAGAGAAAACAAACTACTTACTGTCAACAATGTTAACAAGTGGTTGCCTGGCAACAAACGCCAATATCCCTGATAAATTTTCAGTATATCAAGGTAGAGTTGGATGATAAGACGATATTATCGTAAAAACCGGTATTTGAAAAAATAACCGAACGATACGATATGGCCTTTTTCCTATACCGGTATACCGTTGCGATATTATCGTGAAGATATTTTCGCAATGTCAGACGTAAAAAGACGATATCATGAGCTTTTGGCACTGAAATCAACTCAACGTTCACCAACCTCATCAATATATTCTTAACTTCAGACGGTAATTTATGCTGATCAGTTGTGGATTATATTTAATTTTTTTTTTATAAAAATAGCTGTTTAGAAACCGTTTATAAAATAATATATAACATGGCTCCTTTAAGGTTTGTCATTCGACAACTACTTTCTATAACCCTGGGCTTTATGTAAATTTAGTTACATTTGGATTGATTGTTCAAGTAAGCCTATAGCAATTTGGTGAACCTCACAACGGTAATTTTGTGGCATTTGAGGTTGGCCACGAATCGGCTTCGTACGAACTATTGGTTCTTTGAGAGCTTTTTATGATGTGTTCCTTCACCGATATCTCACACTCTTGTATTTTGGGTACTATAGTTTAATAAGGGAATGATATAATGTACATTATATGCATCACAACGCGAATGCAACACTAGATAGATACCTTGGGTTTTGATAGACGAAAAAAATAGCTGTGTCAGATTGGGAATAACCCAACCACGCCAATGTGGCCTGAATCTTTGGTCTACTGAAAATCCAATATCGGTCACCAATCTGTGTCAAATCGTATCAAAAATGTAATTTGTCAAAGATATTGTTGATTTAATCAAACACAAAATTAAATAAATTTCAGACATAAATTGGCACCACATGAAAACTATAGTCTCTATAGTGTTCACTAACATATATATATATATATATATATATATATATACTGAACAGATAAAGAAACGTCGCAAAGCACAGAAAATGGTGAATTGTTTATTCAAATTTCAATAGAACAATAATAATTGTCTGAAAACAACATTTGGCACAAAGGATTTTTGAGTGCCGTTCAAGTTATTGCTATGACATATCAAGGTTCTGATCACGTGATCTTTAAAGATGGCGGCTGAAAGTCAGTATCTGGTGTGTCGACCTTGTGCGTTGATAACGGCCCGCCATCTTCTGTACAAGGAATGTAACAACGATTTACAGACGCTATTGGAATTTGCGCCCAGACTCTTTAGAAAGTTGCACTGAGTTCTGCAGCATTTCTTGGAAGCGGTTGGACCTGGTTTAGTCGACTTTGGAATCCTACAAGTGAGTGAGGGCCATGGCATTATCTTGATGTTATGCTGTTGGAGGAAGGTGCTGGTGGCTTGGACCTCCCCACGGGTCTCTTTCAACAACACACTGTTCTGTAAAAAGTTCACCTCTTCTTCGCAACACACATACTCTGCCATATACGGTGGAAATGCAGCACCGACTCTCATCTGAGAACACTTGAATCCTGCTGATGCCGCCAATGTGTGAGCATCGGACCCCTGTGTGGACGGCGACAAGACAGGTTTTGGGAGGCGAGACGATTTCAAACGGTATCAGCACTGGTGGGTTGCTGATGGTGGCCAATGTTCTGACGAGTTGTCTGTGTGACTATGGTGAATCTGACATGCAGATATTGCCGAAGGGTATAGTGATCATGTCTTGGTGTTGTGACTTGGGACAACCACTACGTGGACAGTCATCAGTGCTGTTGATGGTGTTGTAACGAATCCGAAGACTATCAATGGTTGGTACACTACAGTTAAATGCATTGGCAATGACATCACCCGGTGGCTTGTTCACCTTGTTGGGAGGTTAGACGCGCCCTGAGCTCACTGTCTTCACAGCAACTGAATTCTCAGTAGGCGTCAGTTTGGTTTTATACAGAAATTTCGATTTTCTTCTGTATCACTTACAACTTGCTCCCACGGACATCTGATAGTTCCCAAAGTTCACAACTCTTAAGTCGAACGCAACCGATATTATCAGTTGAATGTCATAAACTGGCCTATTTAAAGTCCGAAGGTAATATACGCCCACTGGTAGCTTTGATTTTGAATAAAAATATTTAGCACTACAGTAACAATCACCAGTATGAAATATTCAACCTTCAGTCATACACTTCCTTTGAACTATTTAGGGCGATACTGAGTAATATTGAGCATGAGTTATTGCCCTTGTTCTTGAAAACGTGTTCAATTTTTAACTTGTGAAAACTCTAGAAGGCAAATATTCAATCTTCAGCGCAGGGATGAATAATAAAACCAAATTTTGTCAAAATCCGGCAAGTATCATGCCTTTTAGTGTTTAAGAGCTAAATTTGAAAGCGTTTTCAAGAACAAGGGCAATAACTCATACTAAATATTTTTCAATTCTTCTGATTTTCAAAAGGGTTCATTCTTGGGTGATTACGAACATTCACACCAAGTTTCATCAAAATCCATCAAGAATTGTCCCTTCTAGAGTGTTTACGAGCTAAAAATTGAACGCGACGGAAGGACGGACGGATGGACATGGGTGACGGCAATATACGTCCCCCATTTCATGTAGGCGTATAAAAATAACAATTTTGATCATGCAGGATTTTGTCCAAATAATCTAAACATGCGACGTTTCTTTATCTGTTCTGTACATCACTTACCCTGAGAGAACATTATATTAACTACGTATTTATTTACGGTAGTTTAAAAAAATCATATAAGGTTTTTAGAGTGCACCAAAATGTAGAATAAGGAAAACCCATCCGGTTTTGATTGGATAGAAATTAAACCTTCAACGAAGGTTTTGCAAACGCTTTCCGGCGAACGACAGTTATAAACAAATATGGCAAAGATTTAATAATAGATTCCTAATAAATATTAATTCTTGCTATAAGCCTCAATGATCAGTGCCAAGAAAAATGTCATTTTAAACTATTTCTGACTGTTGGTTTTTATTGACATGGGTTTTATCACCATCGGGAATACAATATTCACCCTTCATTTTGATAATTCCCATGTCATCCTCACAATAGGTAATTTGAACAAAGCATACTTACTCATTAGTCTCGATGTTTCACTGTTGTATAATATAGAAGGATGTAAAAATAGTTCGTGACATTAGTTATCACGAGTGAATGACGTAAAAACCCATAATCCAGGTTACATTGACATTTAAAACAATTATCTTCTAAAATTATCATACAGGAATTCCCCACAATGTTTTATGTAGTACGATACAAATGTTATGGTGTATGACATTCTGGGTCATTATTTTGAATAAATTTATAACTATATGCACGGCTTAATATTGTTGCGTATGGTTTAGGTTTTTATGCAGTTATGACCTATATAGGGATATACCTATACGTGTATATGCCACATGTAATACATCAACTGACATGGTAGCAATAATAGCAATAAGCCTTGATGAACCTATAACACATTTTCAAATCTTGGTTGTTATCGGCTTATAAAGTCTTCATTGATTCGTTCATCTTATTTCGTAGCTCATTTGTATGTCACCAGATTTCGACATAGTTCCTTTTTTCATGAAATAGATGCTATTGAATTGCTGTCCGTGCAATGTGCATAGCCAAGTTTTTAGTAACCCCGCTTCAATATGCAGAAAGTGTCTTGGCAATCACTACTAACGGGATATAGTAGTATTGTTGCCATGTAGCAAGAGGCAGGATTCCTTCATTAAATGATTTCCAGGCTTAAGGAGACAGTATGCAAAATTTAGATTTTCAAAAACGTCAAAAATTATACCTTAAACTATTTAAGAAAAAATGCTATTTATATCTATGTATCTACTTGATAAATTGAATTAGTGTTAAAAGGGTTAATCAAAAACGGAGTGTACAAATTTTTAAGTAAGAAGCTTTGACTAATTTTAAGGCTAGGCCCTATAAAGACATTTTATTCGAAACCTTTAGAATACGCAAGAAACATATTTCTCTAAAATTACGAAAAACGCGGAATGCCCTTTTGAGATTGTTAATTGGGATATTTCTTACACGCAAGTCCTATACTCCACCGCTTAGAGAAAATTAAATGTGTGTCGATGTACTGTAACTTGAAATCTACTAAATTAGTAATGATATGTGTGCACAACAGACCATTATTGTCCAGGGACGTCTGGTTACAACGAAGGATAAAATAGCCAAGCGTCTGCCGGCAGCTGACAACTTAAAAAGTTCATTGGCTCTTATCGATTAGACTATTTTACCTGTAGTCAGGTACATTAAGTCTCTTTTCCTTCCTTATCTTTTGTTATAAGTTCAGGTGTTCCAGTCTTATTTTCATTTATTATCGATTTTCTCACACATATTGTGACTTGCGTTAAAGAGACATATTTCTATAATCATATACACTAAGAACAATTGTCCCTTTCCAACATTTTGTATCAAATCTCTAATATTTCCATAGATAAATGGTTTATCGAACATAGTTTTACTTACTTCCATGTTTTTTCCATTTTTATCTCCAAAATGAATATATGAACTGATTCGAACTGATGTGTATCATTTTAAAATTCCCACCATGGTAGTAGCATTAATCTGTTTGTTATCTCAAAATGCCCTGTGGACTGGATTGTCTGATGCATCGACGTCAGTTACACCTTTTTTTTTCTTTTGTAAGGAAATATTATTATGTCATGCCCCCCCCCCCCCCTTCACCACCACCACTTTATTGAAATTGGACAAAATCTTCATTTCATAATATCAGCAACATTATCACTTTGTGATTCAGATTCAGTATTGAAAACAACCTGTCACGATATCTTTAAATTGTGCTCATTCTCTAAACCTATAATCACCCATTGATTGATCAAAGAAAATGTTGTCACTGCTATAGTTCATCTTAGATGTAAACTGACCCATAGTTGTGATCAGGGTGGTGGAGAACAACAACTACAGTTGGACTGCATCTTTAAAATCATTGACATACATAGGACATGTGAAACATTTAGTTCAAACGTTTGTATTTCGGTCAGAGGTAAAACAACAATATTGTTATAAAAAGGATGATCATAGTTTGATGAAATGCAGAATGGCGTGTTAAAATTTACATTTTCAACATGAGCATCTGTCATAGGAAACAAGGTATATGTGAGTTAGATTTTGATATGGTACGAAATGGAAGTCAGTCTGTTCTGGTAAGAATCAAGTTATTATTCGTATCAATGAAAACTTTATTTAATACACGATAACTTAATTATCTGTGTCTGTATAAGCTTACATAATTTGATTCCATATTATCAAAGATGATATAGAGTTGGCCACTGGAAATGGATGTTCGGGATTTGGTTTTTAATATTAGCATAAATAAAAATCCGCACAAGCAAAACAAATCTAAAATCTCGTCCAATGAATGTCGAATTCGGGAGTAAGGTTGTATAGGAGTGAAGTATTATCAGGTCCTCGAAAAGAGTAAGCAGTCTGCTTTTTTCATAATTTGACATGTTGAAAATTTCAGGATTTTTTTTTGTCTGGCACGAGCGGTACTGTGTTTTGAATCTTATCAGAGCAATATACCAAATGGAAATAATGTACCCCATCCGTGCAAACCGGGAAGTATGTGGCCAGGAGTTGGGCACAAATTAGCTGTCGGTGGTAAAAACAGAAACTATTTTGGTAAAGACTTTGAATCCACTGGAAAAGTAAGTTATTTACAATTATCATTGGTTTTAGTCAGTAAAACACAAATTGTATCACGATTTCTAAACAATAACACACTAGCATATGAAAATATTCATGAAATCAAGTAAATTGTCGACACATATCATCTAATGAAGAGGCCGAAATCATATTTTGTATGAGCTTCAAAATTGTAGTTGCACGGCATGGTGATAAAGAACTATTTTCATATTTTGTGTTTGTGAAAGCAAATCACCATTCAATTCTGAAAGATAACGAAATGTTCACCAGGTATATAGCCTGATAAAACTTATACTTATCAAGTAGTCAGGGAATGCTAAAGTTTGCAGCTTACCAATGGTGGTTGATTGAATAAAGGCTAGCCCGTATCACTTTTCCTAATCCAAGTAAATCATTTGACTTTCAATGTCTTTTCTGAACAGATGTGGACACAGACATTGTGTCGTAAAGACTCAGATGGTGATGGGAAAACCAATGGCGAAGAACTTGGTGATCCTAATTGTATTTGGTCTCAAGGACAACTTCCAGAAATAAGCAAAAATATCACACATCCAGGTAAGATTTTAACAGTTATTACTAAACTGATTTGTGTGTGTGTGGGAGGGATGGGGGGGGGGGGGCTCTTTAATTTGAAAATTAATTCAAACCTTCGTAAACCACTATGTGAGCCCTTCTTAAAAATATAGATAATTGAACAATCGGAAAGGAGATATGCAAAGATTCGAATGGGACACGTGTTAACAACGTGTTTTCTTTTATTTGGCATCACCGTTATTATATTCATGGTTTCGAAACTTTCTATATTGCATATTCCTTATAAAATGTAAAAGCTCAATCCCATATTGAATATTGATACCCTCCCTAAACCCCTTAGCATTCTGTTGATGCTAACAATATGAAGCTCTCTGTATGTGTTTATTATTCCACTTTTAGGAGTATGTGAACCATGGAACCATCCAAGGTGCCAACAGCAGTGGAAATGGTTGGAATCAGAATGTAATAAAAAGGAATTTGTGTGTGACGCAATCAGTGAAACAGGTAAGGAACAGGTAATTGATCATATTCAAATGCTGCCAGTTTGCTAGCAATGATTAAATAAGCTGCAAGTCACAGGTTCGCTCTGATGTTCCCTCAAGAATGTTACCAATACTCAAATCTAAAACAAAATCATTTCACTGGTACATTTGGATTTCGGTTGGTTTAAATACTAAATTATCCACTTAGTGAGGTGTACTAATTTAATATTCCGTGAGATAATATATAAAATTGTGACAATTTAGGAACAGAAACTGTATTATTGAAAGCGTCAAACGAAAAGCATGTCGAGTTGGATGGATAGCCATGACCAAGGCATTTATACCTTTGTGTTGAAGGTCTCTTGAGAAGCTTTGATCTGAATAAAAAATCAAACAGTGTTTACTCTTCTTAGGCGTACAGAATATGACAGTTCAGTTTCCAGAAAGTAAAATACCACCAAGGGAGACTACCTATATCTGTGTAATATTTGATTTACCACAAGACAATGATTATCATTTGATAGCAACAAAACCTTTAATTGACAACACCAATATTGTACATCATGCTGTACTGTTTGGTTGTGAAGATGGTAAGTGGATTAAGGATAGTGAAATTTCTCAATGATTGCTCAAACATGATACAGATCATCACCCTAGCATGTAAAAATTAGTGGTGTGCATATACGAGAAACGGTCGTGTATTAGGCGAAAAACATAGAAGAATTAATGAAAGATAGGGGAAGCGATGAAGGTCCACTGCGCCAAACCGGACTCCGAACCTCGTCTTTTCACATCTTTAAACACAACAGTCTGATTGTTTCACCAAAATAAGGTGATATATAAAACTTCGTGTTTTGATTCATTCTTATGTCTTATGGCCATTTCCTACTCCGTTTGTGTTGCTTTCGGAAATATGCATATTAACAGGAATCGCAAAACTGAAGGGACAAATCCAGATAAGCCGCTTATCGGAAAGGATCAAATCACCATAATCCACGATTTCTCTTTCATACCATGTAAGTTCAAGAAATCAACATGAAATTCATGATTTCAGACTTAAAACAAGAATCTGAAATGGCAAATAGTGTACTGACAACTAAGATAATGAAACTTACATTTAAACATAAAACCTCTTTGTCTGCTCAGTATAAATGCTCCCACTGATATTTGTGTGCTTATAGATGTGGAACTCGAACCCATTCCAACAGTTTGTGATATGGTACCAAACCCTAGATGTAGAGAAATACTGAGTACTTGGACTGTTGGTTTCAGTGGAGATTGTGTACATAATCATACTGGTTTTAGAATTGGAATCAATGGTTATAAACGTGCTGCTCTTCAGGTGATGTTCGAATTTTAAATTAACCTGTTAACGAACTAAGGGTATTGTTTGAAAGAAGATGAAAGGTGAAGGGAAGATATAAAAGAAAATGCCAACAAATAAAAGTTTCGACTCTAAGTTAAATGCAAAGCAGAATTTGCAAAGTTGTGTGGGTGTTCGGGTGATTGACGCAGCGTTTATTTGCTAACAATATTCGCCTACACCACCTTACAAAGGAGACAGTAATTTCGGAGGTCAAAGGTCTCTTACAAGACATTTCTCTGTGCTAAAAGAGCTCATGTTAATGCTGCCGCCTTTTTTTTCATTGCAGTTCCATTGGAACAATCCTGCACTACACTCAACTTATACAGACAATTCTGGTTTGATATTGTATTTTACTGATGATTTGAGAACGCATGATGCTGGAATACTGACAGTGGGAGCTAATTACCTGAATATACCCCCTGGAGTAGAACGTACAACCTACGTTAGTTATTGTCCAGCACAATGTACAGATATGTTTATCAACGATAAGGTGTACATAGCTTCAGCTAACAATCATATGCATTACCTAGGTCGGTATCATTTCAAAGTCTTTTCTCGAGACTGTCATTATATAGAAAAATCATAGAAATAGAAAGTTCAATTCTTAGTATACTTGTATCGGTATTTTGGAAAGGATAGTTTTCGTACATTTATAGTATTTCTGAAGACTATACACGAATATATTCAAGACATAAATCAACACCCGAAATGGCGAATCTGCCTCTGTTACAGTATATAGTTAACATATAAAACACTATAAGTTACGTTTTAATATCTTTATTGTTTGTGTAGTAGTAATTAGTAGAACAAATCATTAAACAAGTGTTTAAAAAGAATTATTTGGAATAATAATTTATTATACAACTGGTACAAAATCACATCACTTAATTTTTACTTAAAGGTGTATCACAGAGAATAGAACAATACAGAAATGGTAGTAGATTACAAGATATAACAAGTGAAACTATGTATAATTATGACAATCCTAAAACATTCAGGTATATTCAGTTTTACTCTGTCTTTGTAAACAGTCTCAATTGATAATTTCTTTAAAAACATACGTCCCAGAGCTATATGCATTGGTTAATCCTGAAATCGTATCAAAAAGATTAAACAAAAGATTTTGTAAGACCCACCCTGAATACTATTTATAAATGAGCAAATTTGCATAATATGATATATTTGATAATTTGAATCCAAAAACGTCAAATAGTTACTGGGGATCATTATAAAATTCTTCTGATTACTGGAGGATAGTCAAGCTAAATGTGTTTGGATAAAATGTTATTGCAATTTTTACTAACAGTTTCATTTAAAAGGTTACCGTTAGAAAGAATTTGGAAGAACTTTAGATAAAGGGGCATTTTTAATTCTTTTTCTATGATATTAGTGACAATTTGAATATAAAATAATAGATTTGATTCAAACCTTTTTTGTAATATATATTTAAGTAACAATTATATACATCAATACTTTATTTTTTCAGATATGATAAACCAATAGAACTATTCCCTGGTGATACTATTAAAACAACATGTACCTACAATTCATTGTCTAAAAACACTACTACT